TGTGATTCAGGGAGGGGCTTTGGGTTGCACTGCATCGGCGAGCTGCTGGAGGGGCTGGAGACAGATGAGCCATGTGGACAGTCAGCCACGCCCATGCAAGGGAGTCCCAGCAGAAACTCTGGACACAGAGGCTCAGACGACTCTCCTGACTGGCAATACCGCATGCGCATTGTCCCACATCACCAGGAGATTAATGCTGCCCATGACCCCACGGTGAAAGGACAATGGAGGTGCCGTGTGGGTGCGTTCAACTCTGCCCTGGGCAACTCTTCCCTTGGCTGATTTTCACCTGTATCCCTTCACCATCAGAAAGCATAACTGTGAGAGTGGGTGTGACAGCTTTAAGTGAGTTCTGGGAGTCCCTCTAGCAAATGATCAAACCTCAGGGCAGTGCTGGAGATCCTGAACTTGCCACTGGTGTCAGAAGTGAGGGTGGGCTTATGGGATGTCCCCTTTCACCTGATGACCAGTGGGCACTGGCTCAGTGTGTTCTCAGAGCAGCAAGCTGGTCAGGGTGGCCGGGGCAGTGAAGGAGGAGGGGAGGCGGCGAATGACACAGGAAGGGTCTGGGCAGAGCATGTATGTGGGTGCTCCGCTCAGCAGCAGCCCAAAGACGGGCCACAGTGCTAGCCTCTGGCTCAGGCAGTGGCTGGCAGGCTGACTCTCCCCTGCTCACCCCTACCTGCACAAGCATGCTGCTCTGGCCTCGTGCAGTGAGGACCTGACTCCCCAAACCAGAAGAAAGGAGGTGCTGAGAGCCCATGAACATGAGCAAATCCAGACTCAGGGAAAAATCCCGGCCGCACAGAGAGCCCCCTGCATGCCCGAGAAATGAGAATCAACCAAGTGCAGCCCAGCTCACCTGGCTCAGCACAGCCAGCTCACCTGCTGCCACCCACACGCTTCTCTGTTTAAAAGGCGTGTGGTTCAGGGAGAACTAATATTTAATGTACATCCCCTCTGTGCCACCACTACAGTAACTAACATGCCACTGACAGCCAAACCGATGCTGCTCTCCTGGTTGCTGTGTCCATGCTTATTCTGGAAAACATTGATCAAGAGTGGAAAACGTCTGCCAGCCTGCTTTGAGACGCAACCTGCAGTCTGAGAGCAGGTGGAGCCTTCCAGAAACATGTGCTTCAAGCTGGTGGGATGGTCACAGTAACAGGTTTCTCAGTGTCTGGCAACTGGCCCTTCTAGGAAATGGCCAAGGATGCTGCTGCTGCAGGCACCAAAACCCACCCTGCCTGGCGCTAGTGGCCAGGGTCCGCCAGCTGCAGCTGGAGGCAACAGCCTGGAGAAGGGGATGGTGTTAGTTACCTGTGGCTGCTGTAACAAATTAACACAAACCCAGGGGCTTCCAACAGCTCAGTAGATTCTCTTGCAGTCCTAGAGGTCAAAGTCCAAAATCTGTTCCACTGGGTTAAAATCCAGGTGTCAGCAGGGCTGGTGCCTTCTGGAGGCTCCAGGGTTCCTTCTGGGTTCTCCAGTGCAGAATCCATTTCTTTGTCTTTTCCACTTCTAGAGGCAGAGGTCACCTGCATCCATTAGCGTGTGGCCCCTTTTTCCAACTTCAGAGCCAAAAGCTACCACCTTGCCTCCAGGGTCAAGCTGCCACGTTCATGTGCAGGCAAAGCTCCCCATGTCCCTCTTATACAGACACTAGTGAACACATTGGGCCCACCTGGATCATCCAGGATGACCTCCCCACTGCAAGGTCGTTACCTACACCTGTCATGTCCCTTTGCCATGTAAGATGATAGTCAATGGCTCCAGGGATTATCACATGGTCATCTTTGGGGACCATGATTCTGGCCCAGGTTCCCTGCGAAACAGAACCAGGACAAAGCTCACCGCTGATGTATTTTCTTTGGCAGGGGTTTGGGGGTGAGGGGAGGGCATCCCAGGCTAGCAACAGGGAGGGGAAGGGAGGTGAGGCAGGTGCATGAGCTGATTATGGCTTCAGAAGAAAACCCAGTTGATGCTCAGCCACGCGGCCCATCTCCATGAGCCATGGTCTCAGAAGCGAACATCGGGGAAGTCGGGGAGAGGCATTTATTCCTTGGCTCCTTCCTGTCGTTAGTCCTACTTTGCCCCAAAGGATGTTAATTCGCTTCCCCAGTCAGTCCACCCCATGCTCCTCAATGTGGCCTTCTTCTCAATCTGGAACCTGGAAGAGGCGGAGCAGCCGGAGCCTCCACGGGTCCCTTCAGTTTGGCCCTGGCTGCCACAGACATTGTGGTCCCTCCACGGTGGGCTGGCACTCAGCAGCCCAGCCCTTGCCCCACCAAGGCCAAAACAGCCTGGGGGTCTTTGGTGGCAAAGCAGCAAAGGCAGGGGTGGGTGGCGCTGCAGATATCTGGGAGGAACATAAATGAAATCCTGCATAGCAGGGAAATCACTTATCCATCCCCCAGCCCCAGGGCCCAGGGCCCAGCACAGGACCCTGCACTCAACCCGGCTCAGTGAACACAGCACCAAACGGACAGAGTGACTCAAGCCCAGACACATCACCGACCCCAGCACCTGGGAGTGGGGAGTTACTTAAACCTCTCTCTCTCTCTTTTTTTTTTTTTTTTTGAGACAGGGTCTTGCTCTGTCACCCAGGCTAGAGTGCAGTGGCTATTCACAGGCATAATCACAGCTCATTGCAGCCTTGACCTCCTGGGCTCAAGCAATCCTCCCACTTCAGCCTCCTGAATAGCGAGGATCACAGGCGCCTCCCACCACACCCAGTTAATTTTTGTATATATATATATTTTCTGTCTGTAGAGAGACAGGGTTTCGCCATGTTGCCCTGGCCGGTCTTGAACACCTGGGCTCAAGCGATCCCCCAACCTTGGCCTCCCAAGGTGCTGGGATTTCAGGCATGAGCCATGGCACCCAGCCTGTTCACTTCTCTCTGAGTCTCCACATGGAAGCAAGAATGACATAGCTCCCAGGGAGTTGTTTCAAGAAGATAATCCCGTGAATGGAGTTTGTGAACTCTCAAGCATTGCTCAAAAATCAAAGAAAAAAATCTTTAGAAAGGTGTATGGGATGGTTCATCTTCTGTGTCAACTTGCCTGGGCTCTGGGGTGCCCAGACAGCCAGTGAAACATTGTTTCTGGGTGTGTCTGGAAGGGAGTTTCCAGAGGAGATGAGCATTTGAATTGGTGGATGGAGTAAAGCAGACAGCCCTCCCCAAGGCGGGTGGGCCTCCTCCCATAGAACAAAAAGGTGGAGGAAGGTGGGATTCACCTCTCTCTGCAGGGGGCTGCTAGTGCCAGCACCTGGATCTTCTCCCACCCTGCTCCTGCTAATCAGGGCTGCAGACGCAGGCTGGCATCTCTACCACCGGCCCTCCAGCTTTCTAGCTTGCAGACGGCAGGTTGTGGGACTTCTCGGCCTCCATAGTCAAGTGAGCCAATATCATAATAAACCTCTCTCTAGATACTGACACAATGGGGTCTGTTTCTCTGGAGAAGATTGACAATTCTCATGCATCCCTTGCTTAAATATCCCCCGAGAACAACATTTTGGTGGCTAAAAGACAGTGACTTTCCTCGTCGACATTCTTCTGTTCAAAATAACAAAGTGGGTATTCAGAGGGAAAAAATAAAACAAATTAAGTAATTTATTAAGAGTCAACATCTTTGGGTGGACCCTAAAACTGACATTTGGAATGGTTTATTTTCGGTTTTTTGTTTTGTTTTGTTTTGTGTGAGACGGAGTTTTGCTCTTGGTGCCCAGGCTGGAGGGCAGTGGCAAGATGTCAGCTCACTGCAACCTCTGCCTCTCAGGTTCAAGCCATTCTCCTGCCTCAGCCCCCAAAGTAGCTGGGATTACAGGTGCCCGCCACCAAGCCCGGCACATTTTTTGTATTTTTAGTAGAGACAGGGTTTCACCATGTTGACCAGGCTGGTCTCGAACTTCTCACCTCAGGTGATCCACCCACCTTGGCCTCCCAAAGTGCTGGGATTACAGGGACGAGCCACCGTGCCCGGCCTCAATGTAAATTTTAAAAGAATATAACTTGCAAGCCATTTTACTTATTCTGAATGAGCCCTCATGAAAACACAGCTGTACAGCCCAGTGTCAGGTCCATTGTGGTGGTGAAGGTGGAGAAGCTTTTTAAAAAGCACTTTTAATAGAAAAATGTCTGTTTCTGGCAGACACTGTCATCATCTGCATTTTCAAGAATCCCGGGGTGCCCAAGCTGGCCATAAGCTGTGGAAGTCAAGTGTCTGTGTCTGCCACAGCCGTCTGCCCAAGAGCCCACCCTGGGTTCACCAGGGTCAGGCGGAGCCCACAGCCTCTCCTCTTCAGGAGATTCCCTCTCAAGCCCTACCGTGGTTTAGATCAGAGCAACCAAAACTGCAATCTGTACTTGGACCCACACAAGCACTGCCTCACGGCGAGCAGGAGCCACGCTGGAGAAGGACAGCCGCTGCCCCAGAAGACCGGCGCCACGGGCCCCTTCCCTCACTGTTCCCTGACCTCTGGGAGTGGGGCAGCCGGGTTCCCCACCCAGCTGGGATCCACGCCTCCAGACGTGGTGGAAACTGACTGTCCACTCAGCGCAGGCATCGACATCAGATGGCTCCTCAGCAGGAGTGGCCAGAGGGGTCACCCTCCTGCTTTTCAGGGTTAAATCTGAATCTAGACTCCACCAGGCTCCAGACAGAGCTCCAACTCCATCTGTAAGGTACTACACTAGCTCATGCCAGCACTCACTCCTAATCCTAAAATCCCCTCCTGCCGGGCTCTGTCCAGCCAAGAGTTCACAAGCCTGGTTGTTAAAGCCCCAGCCCAGCAGGGCACATGGGAGGCACTCGGCACTGTGGGCTGGATCCCCCCTGCCATCCTCTTCTGCCAACACGTCTGCCCACCTTCTCACGCAGCACCAACATCCCTTTCAGGAGTCCCGGGTTTAGCTCCCTTTGTCCACGAGAGCCCTGAACCCCAAAGCCAAGGCCTCGCCCTAAGAGGAAGATTCCAACCAAGACGGAGCTCCGTACCTTGACCAGTTCCTTGAACTTGGGGTCTTCCTTGGACGTGGGGTCGATCATCGTGCGCTCCTCGTTCTCCTCTGCCAGGGACAAAAGGAAGTCACGGTCAGCGATTGTGGGGGTAGCAGGGACATGGGGAGCCGGGGGAGGCCGACTCATCTCTGACAAATGGAGAAGCAGAGAACCCAGCACTAGGGGAGGGTGACTGTGAGGAACCGCCTTCTGGAAGGTGGATGGGGCCTCCTCCCGCCTTCCCCTCTTCCGGAAGGGGATGAAGTCAAACTCCATCGTTCTGCCTGACCTCGCCCCTCCCAGACTCCGCCAGCAGCTGGTCCAAACCATTTCCATGTTTCAGGAGAAATAAGGAGAGAGTGGCCTTTACAGGGCATGAGATGCATCCCCTGGCCGGGATCCGTTATGTGGGAAAGCTCCAGGCACCAGGTAGTTCCCTGTGGCCACTATTTATAAATACATAGGAAGAGCTGGGATGGTTATAATGAGATGGAAAATGTTTGGTACATTCAGTAGAAAAGAATCAATATGCAATGTTGTATGAAAATAACATGCAGAAAAAATATTGAGAAATAAATAGCAAAAAAAAAAAAGGGGTGGTGGATGAGGTTTAACAGCGAAATGTGCTCATCCTCATCCTCTTTCTATTTCTCTACCTGTTTGCTTTCCCTCCATGTTTTAGCCTGGATCCCACAGACACCAGGCAGCCAGCCCAGCCCGTCATGGAGGACAGTGCCGTGGAGATGGTGCAGAGGCGGGACTGTGGAGGAGGCACCCACAGAAGCCAGGCGTGCTCCATAGCAGAAATGCCCAGCACCACACAGAAGCCAGCGGGCGCCGAGCACCTCTGAACACACGCAGGGAAGGGCGAGGGGGTCTCAGGCTGCCCATGCTGTCCAGCTCCGGGACCTGCACAGAGCATGGGGCGGGTGAGGCCCAGGTTCCACTCACCGGGAGGCTCTACACCACGCCTCTCTCTTAAAGAGGAAAAAAGACACAAGAGAGGCTTCAGGCAGAAGCCAGGTACCCCCCAGGACATACAAGTGGAGACGGCCAGGACACAGTAGAGACCAGGGTCCCAGAGCCCAGACAGGCTCCCATGGGCTGGGAACACTGACCGTGTCAGTCAGAATGAAAACAGCTTTGAAGCTGGGCATAGTGGCTCACGCCTGTAATCCCAGCACTTTGGGAGGCTGAGGAAGGAGGATTGCTTGAGCCCAGGAGTTCCAGACCAACCTGGGCTACATAGTGAAATCCCTGTCTCTATTTTTAAAAATAAATAAAAAATAAAATAAAATAAAATACAAAAGAAGGAAAGAAAATGGCTTTGAGTGAAACTCTGCCACTGATACAGATGTGATGCAGCTTCCCGGCAGCAGAATGTAAACTGACCACGTGGAGAAACTAAAAGTCATACAGATCTGATGCCTGAGAAGGACACTCCAGGTAACGTGCAGGGAGCACTTGGGAGTCCTGACGATGTCTCTGCAAAGGCCTCCACAGCCTCCCACTCCTGCTGGGATCAAGGCCAGTGTCCTCCATGCAGCCTCCAGGGCCCCTCTCCAGCCTCATTTCCCGCCCTCCTGGTGCAATCTGCTCCAGCCCATCTGGCCTTCCTCCTTGAAGCCTCACTGCTGCCTGCCCTGAGCCGTGGCACCTGCTCCCGCTGTCCGACACTCTCTCCCTGGCCCATTTCCTTCACCCTTCAGATCTCAGCTCCCCAGCTCAGATCCTTGTGCCCAAACCCCAAATCTTCCAAGCTCTCCTGTCCCAAAGGACTTGGTGTGCCTGTGTGACCCATGTCTGAGACCCCCTCTGGACCACCTATCTCAGGTGGGCAAGGAGGAGGACCAGGCCGTGCATCCACACGTGTATGGGAGGGGGCGCAGGACGGAGAGCGAGCAGGTCACTACCCAATCCCAGCCTTCAGAGAGGCCATTTCTGGGAACAGCCCCTTCAACCCACAGTAAAAATCTAAGCATTGCCCTATCTAGCATGTCCTCATACCTAGCTCTCGCTGAACTGAGAAGCAAGATTTGGGCCCGCCCAGCTCATGTGGCCCCCACCAAGGGAACTCGCAGCTCCCTCCTGAAGGCTCTGAGCCCGAGTCTGACCCCCCGACATCCCCTGGACTGGGCAGTGTGCCGTGCCTGCTCGGATGTCCCAGGACTGCAGGCTCCTTGAGGGGTCCTGCCCCAGTCAGCGGGACCACTGAGAGGAACGGGGCGTCTGACCCAGAGACTGTGAAAGTGGAGGACAGAGTCGCCGTTTCGAGTCTTAGTGTCACCAAACACTTTCTCAGAGGCATCTCTGGTCTTTAACTGTCCCCGTGGGGTAGCTTTCATTCCTGAACCCACCTAGAGGGGGACAGTGGGCCTGAGAGGGTGGGCGGCAGGCCCCAGGCAGGCCGCTGTGTGTGGCGGTGTGTCTGTCTGCGGATCTCCCGGCCACCTGGTGATGGTGATGGTAGGCTGGGCTCAGAGGCTCTGCACAGACCAGGGAGCAGCTGCATCTCACAGGGCAGGGGTCTGACTCAGAGCAGGCGTTTGCCCTAGATGAGGAACCTCTGTGTCTAGAGGCTCCGGAGCTCACCATCAGCCCCTGCCGCCTGTCAGCATTCATGACTGGCTCACCCTGGCCTGGGACCCCAGACATGAAGCCCCTGCGGGCCACTGAATACCATGGCCCTCGGTCCGCTAGGGGCTGCTCATGCGGCCTAAAGAGGAGCAATTCCCAGACCTCAGCGGGCCCCGGACTCACGGGGGCATGTTTAACACAGAGGGGCCTGGACCCACATACTCTCCTTTGGTAGGTCTTGGGGTGGCGAGGAACCCTCATTGCCGAGTACCCTGGGACTTTCTGACATCCTGCATTGAGAAACGGGACTCCAGGGACTCTGGGAGAGAAGAAAAAGGCTGTGAGAGGCTCTTTGTTTTTCCTGAAAGGAAGCTGAGAGCAGACACCAGGAACCGTGCCATCTCTGAGCTGTGTGACTTTGGTGGTCTCTAAAGTGTGCCATGATCCTCTCGGTGGCTCCGAGACTGAGGCAGGACCCCTCGAGGAACCCACAGTCCTGGGACACCACAGTGGGTACGGCAAGTGCTGCCCAGCCCAGGGGGTGCCGGGGGATCAGACGTGGGCTCAGAATCTTCAGCAGGTCCGGGTCCACACCTGGATCGGGCTTCTCTCCACGTCAGTCAGAGGAGAAGCAGCGCCCAGGGGCCGGGGCGGGGGTGGTATCTCTGTGCCAGTGTTTTGTGGCAACCGAGCCCCCGCCCTCCCTACCTTGTGCATCACAGCAGAGCATCCATCAGCTGCAATAAAATGTGCCCAAGGACGGAGACCTGTCCTGCTCACCTCTGATGAGGGCCACCATCTTCACTGAGAGGGTCTAGAGCAGGGGGAGCAGCCCAGCTCTGGGGGCAAAACGCCCGGGTTTCAAAACTTTGGCACTTACTAGTGATCTCTGTGATCGTAGATCTGTGCCTCAGTTTCCCCATCTGTACAATGGGGATAATGATACAACCCACCTCACAGGGTCCCTGAAGGGACTCAGGAGCAGAAGCATTCACAGTGGACCCCCAATATTCGCTACAATGATGACTTCTATGAGCCCAAAGGATATAAAATACACAAAGGGGACCTCAGAAAGAGTCAGGTGCTGTGCAAATATTCAGTGAGTAAGTTCAGTTATTATTATTTTTTGAGACAGGGTCTAACTCTGTTGCCCAGGCTAGAGTGCAATGATATGATCTTGGCTCACTGTAGCCTCAACCTCTTCAGACTCAGGCAATCCTCCCACCTTAGCCTCCTGAGTAGTTGGGACTATAGGTGTGTACCACCAAACCTGGCTAATTATTTATTTATTTTATTTTTTGAGCTGGAATTTCACTCTTGTTGCCCAGGCTGGAGTGCAATGGTGGGACCTCGGCTCACTACAACCTCCGCCTCCCGGGTTCAAGCAATTCTCCTGCCTTAGCCTCCCAAGTAGCTGGGATTTCAGGCATTTGCCACCACACTCGGCTAATTTTTGTATTTTTAGTAGACAGGGTTTCACCATGTTGGCCAGTCTGGTCTCGAACTCCTGAGCTCAGGTGATCCATCCGCCTCGGCCTCCCAAAGTGCTGGGATTACAGGCGTGAGCCACTATACCCAATTTTTGCATTTTTCAGTAGAGACAGGGTTTTGCCATGTTGGCCAGGCTGGTCTCGAACTCCTGAGCTCAGGTGATCCACCCGCCACGGCCTCCCAAAGTGCTGAGATTACAGGCCTGAGCCACAGCGCCTGGTGGGGCTGCTGTCTTCTAACTGGAGGGAGAGGAAGCCCAGTGGACCCCGGTGTGACCTCAGGTAGCATCACCAGCTCTGGCTTCGGGTCGGCTGGCAGCTGAACTTGCATTGGCATTTCTTCTCCATAAGCTCTTGCTGGCCTGGCCTTGTCACGGAAACCACAAAAAAGAGATGAACTGGGACTTCCCTTTGAACCAGGGTTTGGAAATAAGCGGAATGTTCCACAATCGCCTTCCAGATCAGCTGGATCCCAAAACACACTTTAAGGAAAACGTGTCTTAGCTGTTACCCATTACATCAGGCAGTGAGCGCAGGGGCCTGGGCCACTTGGCAGGGCCCACCCTGTAAGCCCAGGCTGCAGGCAGCTCTGGCTGGCCCAAAGGGAGGAAGCGTATTAATCATGTTTTGCAATTTCTTTTTTTCTTTTTTTTTCATTGAGTTGTCTCACTCTGTCACCCAGGTTGGAGTGCAGTGGTGCGATCTCGGCTCACTGCAACCTCCCCCTCCCGGGTTCAAGCGATTCTCCTGCCTCAACCTCCAGAGTAGCTGGGACTACAGGCTAACCACACCCGGCTAATTTTTGTATTCTTAGGAGAGACGCGGTTTCACCATGTTGGCCAGGCTGATCTCAAACTCCTGACCTCAAGTGATCCGCTCACTGTGGCCTTCCAAAGGGCTGGGATTACAAGCGTGAGCCACCGCGCCCGGCCTGTTTTCTGTATTTTCTGGTGTGTGGCATCTCGGGGCCGTGCTGACTGGAGAGACTGCACCTCCAGGGCGAGCTAATTCCTAGAGATGGTAACCCAACCTCTCTGGGCACACCTTTCACATGTAAACCCGCTCAGAGCCTGAGCCCCAGAGCCCAGAGCCCCCAGCCATCTCTTTTCTTGGGCTCTCACAGGGCACCTACACTCCCAGTCAATATCCTCACCCTAATCTCCCCTGGCCCTGGGGACATGCCACGCCACGCCATACCACGCCACGCCACGCCATACCACGCCACGCCATGCCACGTGGTGTGGAAGAAGGAGAAGGAGAGTCTTCTTCCTGAGAAGACTCAGGACAGCTCCTGCACCCCAAAGCCCACTGGTATGACTCCAACAAGCCAGGCCTAGGCCCATTCACCCAGCCTTGCCCATTCCTTCAGAGAAAACCACAGTAAGGGTATTGGGGCCGGACGCAGTGGCTCATACCCATAGTCCCTGCACTTTGGGAAACCAAGACAGGAGAATTGCTTGAGCCCAGGAGTTGGAGACCAGCCTGAGCAACACGGCAAGACCCCATCTCTACAAAAAATTTAAAAAGTTAGGTGGGCATGGTGGCACATGCCTGTAGTCCCAGCTACTCAGGAGGCTAAGGCAGGAGGATCACTTGAACCTGGAAGGTCAAGGCTGCCATGAGCTGTGATCATATCACTGCACTCCAGCTTGGGCGACAGAGTGAGACTCTATCTCAAAAAATATACACATAAAATATAAAATAAAGGCATTGGCCCTGCTCCTTCTGCCTCTGCCTGACACTGGTGCATTCCATGTGGCGTTCCATGGCGTGGTGTGGTGTGGTATGGCATGGTGTGGCATGGTATGGTATGGCATGGTGTGGTGTGGCATGGCATGGCATGGCATGGCGTGGCGTGGTGTGGCATGGTGTGGCATGGCATGGCATGGTGTGGCGTGGCATGGCAAGGTGTGGCATGGTGTGGCCCTGAGTAGCCTGCTACACCCCCTTTCAGAACTATGAGTTTAACAAACTATCTTTTCAACTCAGTCTTCTCCTGATCTGCCGGCTTCACCACCTGAATAATAAACTTACGTTTTAAGACTGGGGCAGAAACCCTCAAAGAAGGACTTGCTTTTCCTGATGGACTTTTCTAAACATGACCTTGAGCTAAGAACTTAGACTCCCAAATGCCCCCAGCATCTGATCAAGAGGCCAGATCTATCAGGCTCCTCATTGGCCTCCCCAAGACCAACTTAGTGCCACAGAAGCTCAACTGTCTCAGGGCAGGGAGCGGAGGAATGCCCCGTACCGAGCTGGGTGTCTTCAGGGTGAACATCTGCCAGGGCGGGGGACATCGGTGAGTTGATGGCATTCTTGCCTTCTTCCTGCAGGTCACTCACTGTTGAGCAAAAGGAAAGAAAAACCAGGTTAGTATACACGGAGTGCCGTGGCCTCACGTGTTGGCTGTGGACGCAGAGAGAAATCAATTCCTGTTTTTTCAGCATTTAACAAACATTCCTAAAAGGCCTGTTGCCCAGAAAGAGTCGGACGGAAAAATGCTCCGAACCAAGAATACATTCTGTAGTTCTTCCCCACCCCAAATATTTCCCAGGTCTCGATGAGCTCTGCCAGTCTGTTTTCACTGCTCTTTGAAACTCATAACTAAGACACCAAAGCTTCCAGATGTTTCCAGATCTGACCAAGGCCGCTGAGGCAGACAAAGCATGGACCACAGCGATGGGGCATGAGAGTTCCACCAACTGCCCTTCCTCTGGTGGGGGGCTGCATCCTGAACCATGGACTCAAGATGCTAATCCCCTCCGGTCATGCATACAGGTGAATCTGGAGTTTAAAGTGGGGTCACTGGTGATGGCCACGTTCACAGGGACAGAAATATGATGGAACATCCAGGTCAGGACTGCTGGAACATGCAACAGAATCTAATAAAGAGAGCCAGAGGCTTCAAGTCAGAAACACCATGGCCTCCCGTCTCAAGGGAGTGCTGAACAGTTACAGGGTCTGGAACGCCCAGTGATTAGGGACAACCCCAGAACCAGAAACGATGCCTCATCGTCCTGCACCAGGGACACCCTCCAGGCCTTTCAGCCGTATCCACCAGGGATGAACACCCACCCACACAGAAACTCTTGCTTCTGTGATGTCACGCTTTTTCCACAGTCACAGCCTCAGCTCCAACTGCACGTGGGACTCCAGGTTCCAGCCCCAAGATGCGTCCATGGTGCCAGGTGGAGGTAGGGTCCTGGCCGCTTTCACGGCCCTGGTGGAGGGCCGCTGGGGAGCAGTCCCTGATCACATGCCGCAAAAGTACCCAGGCCAGTGTGCCCGGAGCTGTCCCTCCTTCTCCATGAAACGGGTTCAGAATGAAAACCATATTTCCTCTTTTAACACCAGAGTCACCTCGAACCTTGAACACCTCCAGCTCTGGACACCCAGCCTCCACAGTGGCAGGCGATGGAGCAGCAGGGGGTGTGGCATGATGGCTCTGGAGCAGCAGGCCAGCGGGGCCCCACCCGTGCTGGCCGTGAGACCCCAGGTACGTCCCATTCACCTCTCTGCACGTCCCTCCATGTGGCATTTATAGGTAATACTGCAAAAATGCCAGGGCCTTTGGAAGAGCTGAATGTAACCATAAATGTCAAGCGTCCAGCCCAGAGCATGGCACGCAATGGGCTCTCGGGACACACCTGTGGACCCAGCTTTCAGGATGACACAACCTCCATCCTCATAAGGACAATGGCAGCGGGGCCCCAGGACACCAGCTCCTCTCATGTCAGCAAAGGTCCTGATACTCAGCTTCTGAAAAAGCGGACCTTCTTTTACTCCGTGTCCATAGCTGCACTACTTAAAACAGCCCAAAAGTGGAAATAACCCAGGCTGGGCGCGGTGGCTCACGCCTGTAATCCCAGCACTTTGGGAGGCTGAGGCGGGTGGATCACGAGGTCAAGAGATCGAGATCATCCTGGCCAACATGATGATAGCTTGTCTCTACTAAAAATACAAAAATTAGCTGGGTGTGGTGGTGCACACCTGTAGTCCCAGCTACTCAGGAGGCTGTGGTAGGAGAATTGCTTGAACCCGGGAGGCAGAGGTTGCAATGAGCCAAGATCACACCACTGCACTTCAGCCTGGTGACAGAGCGAAACTCTCTCTCAAAAAAAAAAAAAAAAAAAAAAAGGAAATAACGCATGTTTCCGCACATGGAATTTATAGGTAACACTGCAGAAATGCCAGGGCCTTTGTTTGGAAGGGCTAAATGTAACCAAACCATGAACGTCGAGTCCCCAGCCCAGAGCGTGGCACCTGATGGGCTCTTGGGACACGGTTGTGGACCCAGCTTCTAGGACAACAAAACCTCCCTCCCTCATAAAGACAATGGCAGCGGGGCCCCAGAATGCCAATTACACACTCCCCACAAGGAAATATATTTGCATTTTAAACAGGTAACTTATCCTGGAGGACTGCCTGATGCAGGAGTGTCAGAGCCTAGGTACAGGTTGGGGTTAGGAAGTGTTTTGATTAGAGGAAGGTTTCGGGCACAGCCGAAGTCACTGAGTCTTGGCATTTGAGAACACCAGACGAATGAGTAAGCAAAACGTGGTCCGTGTATACCACGGAATATTATCCAGCCTTAAAAAGGAAGGACGTCCGGGCCAGGCTACTGCATGGGTGAACCTTGAGAATGTTATGCTCAGTGAAATAAGCCAGACACAGAAAGTCAAACACCGTACAATTCCATCCATAGGAGGTCCCTTAAGTAGGCAAATGCACAGAGGAGAAAGCAGTCTGGTGGCTGCTGGGGGTAGGGGGAGGTGGCAAATAGAGAGGTAGTGTTGAATGACGGCAGAGTTTCAGTTTGGAAAGATGAAAGAGTTCTGTGGGTGAGTGGGTGGTGATGGCTGCACAATGAGAACGTACTTAATATCAGTGAACTCTGCTCTTGAAAACGGCTAAGATGGTAAAGTTTACGTTATGTCTATTTTACAACAAATTTTTTAAATAGCAAAAACAAAAACAAACAAACAAACAAAAAAGGCAGGCCCTCTCCAGGTAACCCACATTCCAGCCGCAAGCCAGCCTGGCTGCCGGCACACACTGTCCTCCACCCACAGCCAGCATCCTAAGGGAAGACCACTCATCATTGAAGTTCCAAAATCCTTAGCATAACTCTGCACCAGCAGTGGACAAATATTAAATGCCTTCACGGGGAAATGATATAGGCACAGAGCTTTGAGATTCCCTCCGCCCCCCCTCCCTGAAAATACTCCAGAAGATCCCCCACAGGTCACCCAGATGAGCTGAGAAAACAGGGACCAAATTTCAGCAATTATTTGTACCACGTGACTAGTTCCAAGAAGAGTTGTAACCAGCAGAGAGTCTTAAAAGGCAGAAAGGAAACAGGGAAAAGTGATTTTTCACAGGAATCCTTGGGAATATGATAGCCCTGGAGTACAGGGGGTCCGGTGGAAGTTCCATGTCCTGGCTGGCATCATAGGAACACACGACAGGTGCAGGGAGGTCCCGTCCAGCACAGCTGCCTGCAGTGCTCACGCCGACGGCAGAGGAAGAACAAAAGACCCAGTTTCCCTACGTGTGGAGGATCACACAGGTGGTCTACGCCCATGAGTCCTCTTGGCAAGGCCCGAGAGCTGGCACTGCACCCACGTGCCTGAGCCTGAGGGGTGGGGAGGGAGACCTCGGGGCAAGTGGTCAACGCTTGGAGGCAGCCCTGCTCACCTGATTTCAAAAACACAGAGAGGGAGGAGGAGAGGAGCCGCATTTTGAAAGCCTAGAAATTGGGTCACATGAAAACAGAGATTTCCACACTGCCCTTGAACATCAAAGATGACATTAAACAGGGCCAGGGATTTTGTGACCTCAATAAATGAGAAACGCACTCATGAACACGGCCCAGGGCCTGTTCAGCAGCGCATTCTGAAGGGGCTGGTTATGCATGATGGCCTGAGGGAAGCAAAGGCTTCGGGGGCCAGGAGGAGGGGGCACAGGCTGGCAGACCCCTCGGTTGGCAGGAGGAGCCCAAGCCTGTGGCCACAGAGCCCCAGTCCAAATCTCGCATTGCCACTTGCTGGTGTGTGGTCTTGGGGAAGTCCCCTCATCTCACTAAGCCTCAGTTTCCCCATCTGTAACATGGGGTGGTGGGAGTACCGGCCCCACGGGAAATTCCTCACATTTCCTGAGGAATAAGGGGAATCGTGAGCACCCACACATGGCCCACAAACCACTCCCCGCGAGTGGGAGAGGCAGCTGTGGATGTACAGGGTTTCTGTGATTAGGCTCCAAGAGAGGCACAAACTGGGGGAAGAGTGACCACAAGGCAGGCAAGGTCCCCCATTCCACAGAGAAGCATGGAGGGATCCCTGGAGGAGGCAGCAATTGAACTGGCCTTGAAAGAAGGCCAGGCTAACGAAAGGGCCTTCCGGGCTCTGTGCAGAGTGCAGTGGGGACAAACTAGAGCCAGCATGTCCAAAGCTGAACCCCATGAAGGTTTGACGGATGCCCTTCTGGGCCTTGTTACATTTTGCAGCCTGGGTTCCCTGAAGGACACAGCTCCTTTGCAGAGGAACTTTCAGCCTGGATCTGATCGTCATCTTCAGAGGATCGGTCTGATTTTTGGAAGGAGGGGCTGCTCTCACACCCTTGGCTTCCCCCGGCCCCAACCCTCACCGCCTGAACGGTGCCAGTTTAGTGGCTTTCAGTGAATCTCAGGAATGTTTTGGTTTTCAAAGTACCGTCCACTTGCCAGAAAGACAAACCCTTCAAAGATATGAAGTGCCGGCTGTCTTCAGTCACAGAGAAAGGTCTGCTGGCCCGGGTGTGCTGGCAGAGGCACGCTGGCACAGGCATGCTGGCATGCATTCTCTCAGTATCTGGAGGGTGTGGAGGGTGTGGGCTTCCAAGGGACTGGGGCTTGATTTCATGAGATGGGTGATTAAGGGAAAAAGACCGTCTTGTGCTTGTTTTCCTAAGTGTCTGCACTGTTCTAAGAAGAATGTCCCTGTCCACACGAATCCAGCAGCCGGCCACGAGGGAGCCGACGCCAACTCGTTCCCACTGCAGCAGAGTTCACCTGCAGCACCGCGCTCTGTGGCCTGCATGGGCGGCCAGGTAGGAAGAGAGAGACAGGAGGGCATTTGACAGGATGAGGGCCCCTTGGTTCACTGTCTCTGGAGATGGGCACTCCTCGCTCAGCCTGGGACGGCAGAGTGGGAAGTGCGGGCTGCAGTCACCAGATCTGAGTTTTCAAGAAAAGCTGGAAATACGGGGTTTGGTGTGGAATCTCCCCATTTATAAATGTGAGCCATTAATTCAAATTCTGTGGGCCAGCCAGAGGGCAAACAACCTCGGATTACAGGACATACA